ACTAAGTGGTTTTTCTATCAATAAATTTTTAGGTCAGCAAGTTAGCGGAGTTTCACCTCCGTACCTTGGAAATTACGTAAAGTTGTTGGTTCTGCGCCTGATCTCTTAGTTCGTGTCGAATTGCCGTCCTGTCGGACTATGAGAGTGAGGCAGGAGTTCCTGTGCGTACACGCCTGAACTACTCGTATAATCCTGTTTTGTGCAGATGGTTAGTGTCCATTGGTACTGGCTGCCGTCATCGACATTCGGTCTAGAGTATAAAATTACCAGCGCAATTGGCTTAAAAGTATCATATGCCTCATTTCGTACGAAACAATTAGAAAAACCTTTTATGGCTTCCCATATGTGGCGGTAATCCGTTTCGCGTAAGCAAGATGTATAAATACGACAACACGAGGTTACCATCAAATATGCGCGACATCAACTCCTGTAATTCTCGATCCAACCGCCAAGGATGACGATCACGGCACTGCCTTCTGTCAGTAGAGAAGAAAGAAGACAGGATAGAAGAGAACAAGATTAAGACCGCCCGGGCGAATATCTTCTTGTAGCATCCAGAGTTGGACGTAGATCTCCCACGTCTGCCCGTGATCACCACGCTTGGGAAGTGCTCGCTGAACTTGACATTTACTCGTAAGATTAAGGGTCAGTTCACACCGAGACGTGACGCGACTCGACGTCTCTTTGTGAACTGATCCTAAACCATCTATGGGTCTAGATGTTGAGACGTACTTTACACTTCTACCATCATATGAAGAATGTATTTATGACAATATGTAGCTAAAGCTGTTAGAATCCTGAGTAACTCGTATACTCACACGCAAAATCTACAACACCCTTATAGAAACTTTACGTGGGATGGAGATATCAAAAAGTAATAAATATCGTTATTAATTAAGGAGTTTTATGATCCATAATTATTTACTTTAAAGCAATAATTGGTAGTTTACGACAATAATAATTTATAACCAATTAATTTATACATTGTATAGAATATAAGTTCGGTCTATTTTAATTACGTGGATAATAAATTCGTATTTAACTATAAACTAGTAGCTAATCGTTCCGGCTTAGCACGGGTGAGAATGACTATTTTTAAGAGTCCATCAAAAAACGCCACCATCTCTTAACAGTTCATTTAGCTCATAATAATCAGCATCACAGCCTATCAAAAAACCACGGCTGAACATAGACTGCCTCGAAGGGGCGATATTTGCCAGAGTTGCCAAGCTTGGCGGGCGGCGTGGGGAGCGCAGCTTCTTATAATTTTGAGTTGGTATCAGAAAGATGCTACGTATATTCCCTTTTTCATTTCCCTCTGTCGCCTCTTACGACACCCACGGGATGATATGGGGTAGTAGATATTCTTTCTTCACCACTACATGGAATCCATATAGTATACAACTTTTTCTTATTATATAAATCGTGATTGGTTACACAGGTAAGATAGAGTGGCGTCTTTAAAATTTCTTAACGTTTTGAATGTAATAGTGTTCATTACAATTAATACATATTTATATAAGTAATATAGTTTTGTTCCAGAATTTTAGTTACGTTTTAGTATTTAAAAGAGATTTAGAGGAAGGGAGGGGGGGGGGGGCGGTTAGTAGTTATTTTGGAGCTTAATAACTCGTTAGGTAATGAATTAAGACCCTAGTAGTCAGACGGTAGTAAAATTATAAGGGTCTTATTTACCAAAGCAGAACCCTAAAACACGGCACCTGCCAGCCAACGCCTACGTTTGACGTATGTTGTCGCATTTCCTTTGTCACTTTGGCTCATCCAATCCACTTTTACGATCCCATTATTCGGCGTAAACCTAATCTAGGAATAGATTTCCAGGTTTACGACTCTTGGATGGACCTGCGCCGTAATAGTATACGGAACTTTTATTACCGAGAGAGCTGAATGCAAATGCCAACCGTAAAGGTGACGACGATATACGGAAAATAATTGAATTTTACCACTGAATAGAATTCTAACGTCGTGGCACAATGCCAAACAATGGCGGTGTGAACAGTGTTACCAACTTGACTTTTTTCAAATCCCAATTGGGCTGCACTAAAAGTATCGGGAATGGAATATTTCCACTGTTTCTGTCATATTAAAATCTTTTTAATTGAACACCTTGGTTTTAAAAATCGAATACCATTTATTTATTTAAAAAAAGATTCTCGGTCTTGTCACAAGGTTTTGTCACACTTGTTTAGTCGTTGAGAAAATGGAATTGACTCGAGAAAATTCAAGAGCGATGATTTATTATGACTTTCGAAGTGGTTTAACACAAAAACAGTGTGTTGACCGGATGATTTCTGCATTTGGTGATGAAGCCCCATCCAAAACCATAATTTATCGCTAGTTTGCTGAATTTCAACGTGGACGTGTCAAGCTCAGTGATAATCCCCGTCAAGGTCGTCCAAAAACTGCAGTCAACCAAGAAAACGTTGATGCTGTGCGTAAGCTGATTGACATGTGACATACCGCGAAATTCAGGCAACTTTAGACATTGGCATGAGTCAAATACAAATAATCTTGCATGAACAATTAGGTGTAAAAAAGTTGTTTTCCCGATGGATACCGCATTCGCTCTGTGAAGAGCAAAAAGCGGCTCGCGTTACTTGGTGTGTCAGAACTCTCGAAAGATTCCACGCAGGATCCTCAAATGCTGTATACAACATCGTATCAGGTGACGAATCCTGGATATACGCGTACGAACCCGAAACAAACAACCAGTCACGAGTTTGGGTGTTCGAAAGTGAGAGAGAAAGCCAACAAAAATTGTTCGTTCACGGAGTGTTGCAAAAAAATGGTGGCCACGTTTGTCTCCAAAACTGGCCATGTTACGACTATTGCTCTTGAGGGACAAAGAACGGTTAATGCAGAATGGTATTTACTACTAGCATTTGTTTGCCACAGGTCGTTTCTGAACTCCGTAAAGAGAACTGCAACCGCCGCATCATCCTCCATCACGACAATGCGACACCGCACACAGAACAAAAGAGTTTTTAGAGCAAGAAAACATAGAATTATTAGACTTTCCCTAAAATAAAGAATAAATTGCGTGGACAGAGATTTTCATTACATGAAAAAGCTGTGGACACCTACAAAACGGCCATTTTGGAGACCCCAACTTCCGAATGGAATGGTTGCTTCAATAATTGGTTCCATCGTATGGAAAAATGTGTCAAATTTCGCGGAGAATACTTCGAAAAGCATTAAATACAATTTTAAATAGTAAATGTTGTGTCACTTCCTTGATTCCCGAAATTTTCAGTGCCGCCCTCGTATAACATCGAATCAGACTGCATATATAAGAAAAACATTCGAATGAAAATTAGTTGTTTTCTTCTAATTAAATTATAGTTATGCTAAAAAAAAATAGATATTTCTATTGTTAAGATTTTGAATTGTCTATTGTCGGCTAAGTTCACACTCATGATAAAGAATGTTGTTTTTTTTTGTTAAGTTTTTAAAAATCTAATTATTCCGAAAGGACTGCCAAGTACAAAAAAAATTAATTAACATGGAATTCAAATTCCGTAGATTTAAATTAATCTCTTTAGTTCCACAGATGATAAAAAAATTCCGTATATCTATGGAAAAATCCGTAGAGTTGTAAACGCTCGGTATGAAACGCATTATAATTTTATATTCCACGTCGCTCGATACCGCGAAATTGTATCGCGTATCGTATTCCTACTGAGATATCGTGATACTGGTGTGGTGCAGTTCGATGAACTTATAAGCAATTTAATGCTAAAATAGCGTGCAAAATGCGCAACTCCTATTAACTGCCAGTACGGCAGTTTATCAAACAAAATTATAGCGAATGTTTGTGGAGGCCATAAATTAACTATATACTAGAAAATTATCTTACTCAGCAGAAGCAGAGCACCTGTCAATTTTTTATAAACGTATTTTATAAGTTAGTTAGTTAAAGGATAATCTACTCGTTTAAATCGTACAAATAAAACATTTATGTGTCTGTCTGTAACATTGAAATATCTAGCTTCAATTATGCTCAGGTGTTATTTACATGCTACTAAGATATGACTAATCGTTTTTAAAAATGTCGTCTGTCTGTCTGTCTGCCTGTCTATTCATGCTATTCTTTTGAATAGATCAAGCTTTACGAACGGATAGAGAGCAATGCCAAGAAGGATCTAGACTATTTTTATCCAAAAAACTTGAAGCTTATTTTTATTAATAATTTAATTTATTTATTTTAGGTTATTATAATATAAATGAATACATGGTTGATCTTTTCAATACATGGTTTACAATATACGCTTGACGCTTTCAAACTGTTTCTAAAATAAATTTTGTAAATAGTTTGTTAATATAAAATTTATTTAAAAAAAGTCCCGCTTGGTTTCTTGCTGGTTCTTTCCAGGACAGAGTTTTTTTTCGAACCAGTGGTAAAGTAAAAAATGACTTTCAATAAGAACTACGTCACATCATGTGATCTATATTGAATAAAAAATTATTCTATTCATTACTCGCCGAGCCCATAACCGCCGAAACTATAGAAGGTAAACTAGTAAATTAACACTAAATAAAGCAAACTAGATGTACAATGTTTAAAACGTTTTTGCGCATTTGTAATCGTGTAAATATTACACTATCTAATTATTGTAAATCTGAAAAATTACGCTAGTAACTTTCGGTAATATTTCGGCAAAGATCGTTTAGTTAAACAGAGATAAGAAATCGAAGACCCCATTTATGATTATATTTAGTTTTTTTTTTAAATAGTTGGTTTTCCTACGCTTATTTTACGAGCCCCCTTCGTCTATTTAATAATAGATGCAGCCTGCAATACTGTGACACCAGAACTTTGAATAAATACCCTACCACATGATCATGAGAACTGCAAAGAAGTAATAATTTAACCTTCATTTTAGACATTCATTTCAATATTTTAAGAAAAATTTATATAAATTTAGTGAATGTGTAATATGCGCGAAAATATAACGAGATACTGCATTTTATCAGCTCACCTTTTTTTCCAACATGGCATGGTTTTCAAGTGCATGCATGATGGCCTCCGAGACTCTGGCATCGAGCGCTCTCAGCGCTGCATCCGCGTCCGCCCGCGCCATTCGTTCCACGCCCTCTACGTAACCCGCCCAAGGCGCCTCGAGCTCTGCCACCAGAGATCCAATGCATCTGTAATACATAACAGTATTAGAATTTTGCATAAGAGATAATTTTTTTAGGGAAGAGATTTCTAATAGATCTTTTTAGTGTTCCGTAAGCCTCCGCTGTCCGTCCGTCCATCCGTCCGTCCGTCTGTCTGTCAGTGGGCTGTATCTCATGATCCGTAATAGGTAGACAGTTGAAATTTTCGCAGAATGTGTATTTTTATTGGCGCTATAACAACAAATAATAAAATTAAAATAAATTACATATTAAAGGGGGCTCCCCTACTAGAAACGTGTTTTACGATGGTACGGAACCCTTCATGCGCGAGTCCGACTCGCACTTGGCCTGCTTTATTTTTATAAAACTGAAGTAACAAACGAACATACAGTCCATTTGACAGATTTGGCTCCTCCAATACATGGACTACTGCAACTCGCTTCAAAGACAGAAGGCTACAGTTGCGTTGTCACCTGTGAGCACTAAGATGGAACGCCTCGCAGCCTGTAACTATACGGTCTCTCTATACCCTTCAACCGCAACACAGCAGGGCAAGCTGTGCAAATCGCTTCAAAGACAGAAGGCAACAGTTGCGTTGTCACCTCTGAACACTATGATGGAACGCCTCGCAGCCTTCGATAGCAGAGGATCGATGTAGATGTCTATGGGCCACAGCAACCACTTACCATCAGGTGGACTGTGTGCTCGATTATCACTCTATCCTATAAAAAAATATATAATATTATAGTTTAATTTATATGGTATTGTAAATCTTATATATTCTTATTGATGAAGTACCGCTGTGCTTAATTATTTGCACCGGACACAATTTCTCAATTCACATTGGTTTGACTGGTAGAGTATGTCACGAGGCATGCCATCCGGCCGCTGTTCTCTAAGTTCCACGATGTTTACAATAAAAATAAAACTTCAACACCGTTACATCTTTTAATAAGCCTACTGTTAAACATAGCCTGACAAATGGTAAAATTAAAAAAAAATTGTACTACCGACTTAATATAAATAATTTATTGTTGATTTATTAAAAACCACTCGACCGATTCCGATAAAATTTAAATGGGACCACCTGGGAAGTATACCATTTGAAAAAAAAATTTTCCAAATCGGTCCAGGTGTCTTCGAGTAATCGGTGAACATTAAACAAACAGATTCCGACATATTGAGAACCTCCTCCATTTTGAAGTCAGTTGAAAAATATTAAAAACTTAACATTAAAATATGGCTTAAATATTAATATCCATTACAGTTCTCTCTATAGGCAACAATTACTAAACGTATTGTTTTAGAGTCAAGTGCATTTGCAATGCACAGTTAATTTGCATTCGTTCAAATAGAGGTGGAGCAGGCCGGTCGCACGGCTGTAGATAGCATCAAGCCTCATGTAAATGCAGTGGTTTTAAGGCTAGGCCTAAAATGTTTGGTTTGATAAAATAATAGTTATTTCGCTATAGACATATCAAAGGATAGACCAAACAAACCTTCATTTATATATAACACTATTAACAAAGGCAAGTAGTATTACTTATACTTATTATTAAAATGCATTATTAAGTGGCGAAGCTTGCGAAGTCACTTATTGATTTCACGATGTCTGTCCGTCTGTCCGTCTGTCCCACGATTATCTCGAGAACGGTTTTGAATTTCCAAATTCTGTTTTCAGCAATCGATTACTGATCACCCAGGCATATGAACCTCCTATTTTGAAACTGATTGCTCAACGGCAACCGTTAGAAACCGCTACAAAGCTGATTGCTTCGCCACTTTGCTATGCTGTTAGCTTGCTAGGTTTATTATTTTTAAATATTTATTCACATGTTATACTATTATATTTTATTAATACACGTCTCTAAACAGTTTGCACTTCTGCTGTCCCTAACATGAGTGCAGTAAATAAAATCAACATTAGTGCCCATTAGTAAGTAAAATAATATTTAAAAAAAAACTCCCGAAACACAAAGAGTTGATAAGCTTCAAATGGCTGAAAAGATTTTCTTGAATCATAGCTAAGAACACTCTCGATCAAGTCACTATTCCAACAAAAAAAAAACTTAATCTAAGTCGGTTCACACGTTTGGGAGCTACGATGCCACATACAGACACATAGATACACATATGCACACGTTAAACTTATAATACCCGTCTCATTCGTCGGGGGTCAAAATGACGCCTAATTCAAATGAACTCTGCACTCTACATCGTTTTCATGCAGCCTTTTAAAGTCCACAGATTAACAGAGGCCTCCTCCATAGACGGCTTCATACGGGGCATATTCTCCGTAGTTGCAACACTTGGCAGGCAGTTTGGCAACCGCACTGTTTTTATTATTTTGAGTTATTATTTTTATGGCCTCTTACGGGATGGTATATGGTAGTAGATTATCCTACGCTGCCACTACGCGGCAATTTAGTTTATCATTACATTATTTCTAATTCTTCAAAATAAGGTTTTGAAAATAAACCACAAAGTTCATTACAAAATTTAAGAATTACCAAAAAATTACTGCATGCTTGATTAGAACGGAAATTTAGTGGGTCACTGCTTTATTACAGATTATTATATTAATTATCAACCCGTAAAAGATTCGTCAGAGTCCTAATATAATTATCCTAACAGCCAATCTACAAACTTTAATTGTCGGACCAGTTAAAGTTACTGCTGGACAACGGATTGACGGTCCCAGTACTAGACGTCACAAAACGTTGACGCTGCTCCCCATTGCTGGTTTGGATATTTAAAGCCTAGCATAAAGAGATTATACTGCCATTTATCCGAAGCCATAAGGTATTTCTGGCATATTCCAAAGTCGCCCCACGGGACGAACTAAGGTTGTTGTGCACGACTCGTAATGCTCATATGATCATCATATCATCATTCAGGTCACCCGTAAAGTCCGAGACGTATTTAAATATAAATATATACATCCTACTTACTTTTAGTACGTACTACTATTATTTATTCTGTGCTTTTAAAATATTGTAAAAAAATCTATTTATGAAATTTGGTTTTTTGAATATTTTGTATTTGTACAGCGATCTTTTTGAGCCGCTGCAAACAACCGATACGTACTAAGGTTGTTGTGGGGTGGTATTTTCTTCTGACGTCACTACACGGCTATAGTTTCTTATAATAGCTACAAGTATCAAGTTTTGTTATATGGTTAACATCGTAATATAACAGAAAATAATATAAAATAAAATAAATCCGTAAGTATAAAATTAAATAAATAATATTGTTTTTTACTGTATTAGCCTCCCTTCTATAATGTTAAACGATTAATATTTACATTAATATAACAGAAATATACTAAAGTTAAAGATTCTCGCAAAACGGTTCCCCGTTAAGTACAGTAAGTTCGTGATCAGACATTAAACAAAACTAGAGGCTGCGCAGCGGGACGTAACTGTTATGTCCCCATAAAGTTGTATACTCATTATATTACGTCTAGCGGCGTCGTGTTTTCTATGACGACGACATAAAGTAGCTGGTAGAAGATTGTGTATTCAAAATAATTAACTACGACTTTATCGCCGTCTGCGGGACTATTTCTAGTTTGCCGCTCATGAGCCTCGAAGTTTCGGCTTCTGATAAAGATTTTATTACACCGTGGAAAAGTTTTTCTGCTTCGTTAAATTTCATTTCAAGACACTGTTTTTGTGCCCGCTTTTATTTCACCGTAATTGGCGTAGTAAAATTCATTAAATATATTTGAGAATTGTTAAAATTAAAAGCAAAATTGTATTGTAAATTAAGTTGAACATTTTAAATATTTATTTTTAAGATTAATTTAAAAAAAATTATAATAATCTATATTACTTTTGTGTGAAATAATAATCGTAAATAATGACGAAATAATATCATTTATCATTAATAGAAAATAGAATGACCGTGTAGTGGCGGTGTAAGGATATCCACGACCCAATATCGTCCCGTGGGTGTCGTAAGAGGAGACAAAGAGAAATAAACCAGGAGATGGACAGCAGCGTCTTCCTAAAATGCACAAAAAAAAACTGCTGTTGCCAACCCGCGTGCCAAACTTGGCAACTTTGAGGCAATCTATGAAGAGGCCTATACTCAGCAGTGGACTTTTATTGGCTGTAATGGATGGATATCTACATATAAGTTATTTTACATTTTTTTTAATCTGTACTACCATTAACAATACTTTGATATTACATATTTAGCTTCAAGTTTTTTATTTTTTATTTTTATGTGCAAGAAAGAATGATGAGCAGCATACAATCCACTTGATGTTGAATGAATGCCGTGGCCTGTAGACCTGTATCTATCTTCAATCCAATATCAAAATACGGATGCATTGGCTCTACTGAGGACCAAGATAGAATACCATATTACAAGAAAATGTGTTCGACAATCATTAAAATTCATTGAAGTAATTTTCGATGTCTTAATATAAAGAAAACAGTAGGCCAGCTACTAACTTTAATTGTCGAACCAATTAAACTCGACAAGACTTACTCTCTAGAGGCTTATGTAATTCACTAGCGCGAACTCCTGTACTCTTAGTTCTGTACAAGCTTTTGGCGTTTTCAGCTACCTCAACTTTTAACACTTTATAAAAGTTACCAGTAACTATGTTTATATATATATATACTTTTATTTCAATACTTGTTTGAAAGCCTCTTCTAAGATTTAACGAAATTTATTATAATACAGGTGTAATAAATTCCTCTCAATGCTTCTAAATCAATAACAACGATACGTTTGATGGGAAAATAAGATTCTAATAACTACCTTTTTGTAATATATATATATATATATATATATATATATATATATATATATATATATATTAGCATTTTTATAGCATTTTTTACTTATTTGCAATATTTATTAATGTATGTTAGTAAAAGTTGCGTGAAGTGTGAAAGTAAAATTAAAGTTATAAAATGTAGTTATTGAGAAGTATGTTGGGGGGTTACTCTGAATGATAGGGTGAGAAATTGTGTAATAACAGAAAAGTGAGGTTTCTAAAAAGATGTTGTTACCAAGTTTGGACTCGTAAAAAGAATGAATGATGATGGAGTGAAGATGTGAGTGGCAGACTCGGCAAGCGATGCCTTAGACCAAAGTTTATCTACCGTATTGGTGATATATTAAAAATGGACCAAAGTAAGCGAACCTTTAACAGACAAACATGTATAGATGTATGTATGTAAAGGAAGCGAGAGAGGTGTGTCAGAATCTCGCCAAATGGAAGTCCGTAGTCTCTGTCCTCTTAAACACAGGCACATGCGTATGTTGTGTGATATGTATGTTGCAATATTTTTAACAATAAAAAGCTAAACTCTTGACGGCGGTTCTATAAAATAACAGTTGTATCTAGAGTCAGCGAGTCGTTACATCACTCTAGCGGAGCGTCAGTACGGTGGCCCCCTTTTTTATCCTCATGGATACCTTCGGCTGCGGGGGTGACAGGAAGGTTCTGCTGGACTCCTATCGACTAAAACCGCTTGGCGGTCTCCTGATGGATATCCCGGGACCTCTCGTATACGCTGATGCGTATACGAGGGGTCCCTGGATTTCGATTCGGTACGCAACCAGGGCCCTTTTTTCGCAGTGCGGGGAAGAATTAAGGGTATATCGGGAAACTCTCCCTCATTTGTGCAGTATAAATTTCACTACAGGGTAGGTGCCGTGCGTGCGAAATTTCCCCTAAGTTATACCACGAGTCTTACGAATGTGACACTGAAAGTTCTTAGAAAATCAAAAACTGGACAAAGCAAGTTATTAGTTTTATTATATATTTTCATAATAGTATCCATTTACATCAACACATCGCTGCGTCTGATGGAACCATCGGTGAGATTAGTGCGAACACGCTTAAACTCATTAAATCAGTTGTAAACAGTGAGACGAGATGGGGCGTCTTCGTGCAAGGCCAATCGAAGTTTATTATAACTTTCTTGTTGACTTAAATGACATCGAAAGTCATAAAGAATCATTGTACGAAAATTTCGCGTTAAATTCATGCTGACGTGACATAGACAATTTTCATTTTGCCGCCAAATCGTAAACAAATGACAAATTAATAATATACATCCATAAAAATAAATAAAATTGAAGTGTCTATTTGTAATGTCAAAATTACAGCTTTTTACTAAATGCATATGAAAGTATATACGGTACTAATAACAAAAACACAATTTTTAAAGTTTTTGTCTGTCTGTCTGTCTGTCTTTCCGCCTGTCTGTCTGTTTGTTCTGGCTAATCTCCGAAACGGCAGGACCGATTTTGACGGAATTTTCACTGGCAGATAGCTAATGTCACAAGAAGTAACTTAGGCTACTTTTATTTTAGAAAAATAATTAGACTTCGGCGTAATAAAATTAAAACCCCAAATAACACGCGGGCGAAGTCGCGGGGAACAGCTAGTATACAATAATTTTAGCAGAGTTCCATTTTCAAAATTTGAACTTATTTTTTTATTATATCGTTTACAAGTGGCCAGTTCTAACAACTTTCAGTGTCACCCTCGTAGCACTCGTAGACAGAATGTGTAATGTGGTTCTGTCCGTTGCAGTAACTATTGCAGGCAAGGAAAATTGTGTTGCTAAGAGGTTGCCCTGTGTTACATCGAGATGTCCTATACTGTAATTGCTCTGTGATAAATGTATTGTGGAGTACTCTGTTTTATTGCTGATAATGATTAATTAGATAGGGCAGATAAACATCCGTTCTGACACTATTATTATTTGTAACAATTAACCTGCTGATGTATTTCCGACAAACTCATGTAGCCCTACTTATTGAAGTATAGAGCAAATAACGCTGGCTGCCTTGCATTGCTGAATGACTTTCACTAGCAGCGAAGGTCAGTCGCAGATGCTGTTCCTTTAGAAACTTATTGAGATTGGACCCTGTAGACCGATAGATTTTACATTCAAATAAACTAAAGTCTTTCGTCTCTCGATTTGCAGATATTTTTTGAAAGGTTTTGTCGGTGACCTGAGTTTTCCAGCGGATTACACATCTTATTTGCCAGAGAAGCGGCGAGCATCTTTACTTACTAATATTTAAAATTAAATTATAAAATTAAAGTATATAATTTTGATAATAAAATTATTTCTAAAATATAGTTATTAAATTATGTTTGTTAGGATGTTTATCTTTCAACTGACTGTCTTATTGGTTGAGTAAAAAAATTATTTATTGAGTTTTTCTGCCAAAAATTTCTCAGTAGAGCCTGGAGTTAAGAATTTGGTGGTAATTCACCCATGTGGCTCAAAAGTCACAACGCAGATAAAGCAGTTAGTCCTGTGCCTGATCTCTCTCCGGTCGTGTCGGACTATGAGAGTGAGCGAATAGAGAATGCTACTGTGCTTGCGCATATTTAATTTTTAAGTTTTTAATTTAATAATTATCTTTATTCAGGCAATTTCAAGGAGGTTATATTTTGCAACTTTTTTGGGCAAATGACACCCATATCCAATAAAATCAATAAATTTAAGATCAATTATTCGGTTAGAATCTACTAGTTAGTCTGCGGATCAATCACCAAAATTTTAGCAATAAATAAATAAATGTCAATACAAAATAACAATTTTAAAATAATGAATCCAGTCAATGTAAATAGGCAGTATTGTCAGTACATGAAATAAAATAAAATAAATTTAAAATAAAAATTAATAAATACGTAACAGAATTACACACTTATATAAGTCAGGAGACGAGTTAAAACTTTCTCTGAGGCAACTGTACTGCGATATGTCTGTTGCAGCAATGCCGGATGATATAGCAGTCTAACTTTTGCGCGATCATCGTCAGGACAGTGTTGGAGCTGGCCCGCACTCTGTGTACCAGGGACGCGGTCCGCTTGCGCATGGCGGCGTGGAAGCAATCGGTGCGCGCATCCGTGAACATACCGGAGGCGCTACAAAATCGAGGAAGCCCCATCACCGAACTAAGTGCATTATTGTGTTGGACGTGGAGAACGCTGTAACTCTTCCTACTGTAAGTAGCCCATAAGCTGCACGAGTAGAGCAATGTACAAAACGCTCGAAAGAGCGTAACCTTAACCTCCTTTGAACTCCGCGCAAACAGACAGCGCCCTCCGCCCCTGATCCATATCAGCGTGATCTTTCAGGTCGACGGTGAGTAAATGCCCCAGATATTTAAATTGTTCAATCCTTTCCAGGCGTACACCATTTAATTAAATATTATACTTGTTCACTATAATCCTGTCTTGCGCAGATGGTTAGCCTCCTGAACTGCCTCCCGTGGTCGAAATTCGGTTCTGAGTGCATTATTATTATCTTTCAATCTTCCTTGAACGGATTCTAATGATATTTGCAATAAAAGTCAACCACGTCGTGGAACGAAAGATAGGATACTTTTTATAACAACTATAACTAAAGTTAAATGAACGCCTAACGAAACGTGCAGGTAGCAGCTAGTGTAAAATATAATTAATAACTATTAAGGTAATATTTATTATATTTTCTTGCACTTACCCTCTTGCGATGTTAAGACAATAATTCTGGCATAATCTGACTTCGAGACCTCGACAGTGAGGGCAGCCACCTGCCCGTAACAATTTATTCTGGCATTCCTCGTTGGAACTCATCAGCACTTGCTCACTGGCTGTTAACGCATTTGCTCCCACAGCTAACACCTGCAGGAGAACTCTAGCTGCCTCCAGAGATCGTGAGAGCGACGATCCCAGCTGTAAACATAACTTTATTTTAATATTTTCTTTCCTTTTTTTATCTAAAAAAATTTAATAGAAAATTATTTTTATCTAGGTATTCAATATAAATTAGCATAGTTTGGAAAGTTTTGTAAGTTGAAAGTTTTTAAGCACTTTTAGATTTAATTTATACTGCACTTCTATTTACACCGGAAATCTGCATGTTTTTATACGTGGTACAGTCATGCTGCAGCTATATTACTAGTATAGTTGTAGCACAGATGGGTCGGCTCGACCGGGGAAGGACCACGCTCTCACAGAATACCAACGTAAAATAGCAGCTTAATGCTGCTGTATTTCGTATGGTGAGTGTAGAGAACCGGAAACCCTTTTTACTGGAAAAGAGGCATTCCATCTTAGTCCTCATGGGTGACAACGCATCTGCATTTTGATTTGTAATCGAGGTTAAATGTAGATGTCTATGGGCCACAGCAACCACTTACCATTAGTTGGACTGTGTGCTCGTTTGTCACCCTATCCTATAAAAAATGTCAGAGAAATTTGTACAAATATTTCGGGGATATAGGACAACACTAGGTAGCAGGACTCCTATTATTATGTTCCAATTAGGACTCCATTTCTGCCTAGGACCCTGATCCTTTTACTAGGTGGGTCTAGGAGACAATTTCGTTAGGCACCACACTATTTTACGCTGGTATTCTGTGAGAGCGTGGTCCTTCCCCGGTCGAGCCGACCCATTCGTGTTACAACTATACCAGAAATATAGCTGCAGCATGGCTCTACCACGTATTCTATGAGAGCGTGGTCCTTCCCCGGTCGAGCCGACCCATACGTGCTACAACTATACCGGTAATATAGCAGCATGGCTCTACCACGTACTTTTATCCCAACTTCAAGCTGTGAAAAGTTTGGCTTGTAAAATGCATTAGATTTAAAGTGTTCTCCAAAAACACATGATTAATGTTCTTATTATTAACAAACTTTTTATTTCTCTTATACTGAGCAGTTTTAAATTTGTTATTTTAAATGTGAAGCTAACTCTGAGTTACCGTTTTTATTATAAAAAATGTTCAGTAATCTAGGAAAAGCAAACAGTTAAATGCAGTCACACATATGTTCATAAATATTCAAAAACTGGGTGGCTACAAAATCACACATGCGTAGCCATTTAAAAGAATTTAGATTATTGCTATATTGTATAGAAAATAGACAAAACATTAGTCGCATTTCTGTTTACCAGTGACATATCGATAGATATGAAAAATCCTTTTAAGATTCTTGGCATGAATTTTCAAAAATACACAACAGTTTAAAATAAGATGTACAAATCTATCCGCATGCCACAAATATATCACATTAATTACACTAAATGAAGATTTAGTAGTAAGCAAAAATGAACATTTAAAAATGTAGAGACGAGTTTCTAAATATAAAAGAATCACTTTCGATACATCATACCTGTTGTGGTACTTCACCAAACGGCTTCACAGCGTCATACGCGTCTTGCAAACACGCTTCGTACTCAGGTGTAAATTGTTTCGCGTCTAGCTTCAACACATTCTGGTACGCCACGGGGAACACGTCGCGGAAGAACTTCCTCGTGCTTGCCGCCAAGTCCTTTGGTGGTGAAGAAATTATTTCAACACTAGTGATGTCATGTTCAGAGTCTGATCGAAGCAATATTCGTATGTCGTCATAGAGCGCCGCCAGAGGAGCTTTCGCTCGCGATGCGTGGACTCGGTACAGTTGCAGAAACAGCACAGAGGTTTTGTTTTGCGATTGATGGGAGAGCGCCGTTAGGTGATCTGCAGGAAACAAAAAAAAAAGATTTTTTAACATAAAAAAGTTTTCTGTGGTTCCAATCAAAGTCGAGATTGGATTCTCATTTCGTAAATGTTGCGTAAATGCTTGGGAATTAAAGAAGAACAACTGTATCACAATTTTATGAAAACCATTCAACTTAATACCAAATGATAACCTTATACGCGAACAACACTTTAAATAATATTTGTTAAACCTAAATATAATTTACGATTTTTATAGCGTTTATTTTGCTACTTAGTAACTTACTTGTAAACATAACAAATATCCCGCCTATGAGGCAAACAACAGGGGTTTTGATAGTCTGTAATGAATGAATGAATAGATTTTAATACTAGAATAGACATTAATATTATACGTAGTTATACTTAGAGTACTTAATAAAGTTAAATAAAAAGATAATAAAAAACTGAAATTCAGAACATAGATTCCCATAGCAAGCGATCTATCAAAAATGTAACGTAATTTTTAAGATTGTTTAAGATTACGACATCGTGAAGACGATATGGGGTAGTGGATACGCGACATTTAACTGTCTTATTATCATGTTTCGATTATCTTGAAATACAAAAAATAAAATGAAAATAAAGTTTGAACGTTAGTTGCTTATGTGAAACAAAAAGAAACTTTCGATTTCGATTTTTTTTATACATAATTTATTTAATGAAAATAAATGCCTAAATCTATTAATAGAATGGATTCATCTAAGGCTGGCTTTTCACTATGGGATATAATATATATTATATCCCGAAATATAAATTATATCCCGAGATTGGCTTTCACAGCTCTATAAATATAGCAGTAAAAGTTAAAATTTTAGGGAAAAGGTAGCAGATATTTTGCTTATCTGCTATATATTTCCCTAAAATTTTTCATAAAAATATAACTTGTAAACAAATAATTTCTAACTAATAACGTGGTGCAACTTATCAATCTATTTTATTTTTTGCTGGCTCTTTATGACATTCCATTACTGGCTAGCAACAATATATCTGCTATATTTTTCTTAAAATTTACAAATAATTACTAATTTAATTCTTGGTGCAGCTTATTGATCGATTTTACTTTGTTGCTGGTTCTTTGTGACATACTGCTTCCGTTACTGACCAGCACACAAAATATCTGCTATAGTTTTTTCTAAAATTTTCATGATATAGCTTGTACACATATAATTATTAACTTATTACTTGGTGCAGCTTATCGATCTATTTTGTTTTTTTTTGTGTTGCTGGCTCTTTATGCTTTCATTACTGAACAGCAACAATATATCTGTTGTTCTGTTCTTGAATCTCCCGTATAGGCAGCATGTACACATTTATTTGTAACTTATTACTTGATACAGCTTTTCGACCGATTTTATGTTGTTGTAGGCTGTCTGGGAGTTATTGATCTATTTATTATTTAGCAGCAAAATTTTCATTAATTTGGAACTTCAGAATCAGTATCAAAACATAAATTGATTTTTATTAATTTTTGATCCTTTTTTTTAATTTTAGATTTTTTTTAAAATTTTAATTGTTTTTATATTTTTTTTGCATTATATGTCAGCAACTCATTAGCAACAAATTATCCCGTTTTATCCGCTACGGCGGGGTTGATTTAAACTTTTTACTGCTATCTTAACGTAAAGATAGCAGTAATTCAATTTACTCAAAACCGGTTGGAGCAACAAAATCGCGATTTGGGTAACTAATTAGCAACAAATTAGCTACCAATTCCTGGATACAATTTTTATGTTTCTGCTGACTTTTCACTGCTATCTTTATAGAGCTAGCTTTCACACTGTGAGATATATCTTTTAACTAGTGTGTGTTCGTCATTGGTCATTGGATTACCCCCTTAACCCCGTACACCGTTCTGCGGGGGCGCGGAACGGCATGCGGGGTACAGGGGGTGAAATATAATATGAAAATATCGCTCGGTCGATCGAAAAAATATTTATAGCTTGAGATGTAATATATATTATAGCTCAGTGTAAACGGTTCCATAAGAACTGTATGGCGAGCGATATTAATTTATATCTCGAGATGTAATATATATTATATTACATCCCATAGTGAAAAGCGGGCTTAATTCAAGGATAATAAATGTCACATTAGAATTCAAATTTAGTGCATTGTTAAGTTATAACTGTAAAAGTACAAGTGAAACATTCAGTTAATGGAAATAAAACACACAAAACAGCAATAAAATTTAATACTTAGTGACATTAAAATATGTAACATACGTACTTAAAACGTCGACACAGCTAAATATGTATGTTTGAGAGCATCTAACGTTTAACGAAATTTATCGTGGTACAGGTGTAATAAATTCCCCTCAAATTTGCCTCTATAACAAACGATTCAATAACAAACGATTCGTCTGTTGGAAATATTAATTTCTAATATTAACGGACATAAAGCCGTGGTAGTTCAAGAGCCGGCTAAGCGCTACGAGTAGCTGTTAATTTCACAGTACGCGAGCAACTCAGGTTCGATCCCCGCCGGCACCAAATGAAATTGTTAATGCAGTTTTAAGTGTTGATTTACCAGGTGCTCGGCGGTGAAGGAAAATATCGTGAGGAAATCTGCACGTTTGAGAAATAAAAAAAAATCGAAGACGTGAAGTTCGCCAACAGGCATTGGGGCAGCGCGGCGGATATTTTCTTGCCCTAAGACCATCACAGAAATGAGAGAAGGCCTTTGCAAAGTAGTGGGACGTATATAGGCTGTAACTTTATTAAAGATGATTGAGCAAATAATTGTTCTTAAAAAAGTCTTATTTAAATAACGCAACTTTATTTACATTATTATTATGAGCATTAATTAATAACGACAAATATAACCGTGTCAACGAAATTCGCAGAAGTAGTTTATGGTTTTTGCACCTAAAAATCCTACCGTTTAGGGTATGAAGAATTCTCAGGACCTGCTAGATACATTATTTCTTACTTTTAGAAAAAAATTAAGCTAAACACTCTGACCATTAAGCTCAGCGTTTTGTAACGACTGGTCTAAAATTATATGCTAGTGAACTTCTCGTAAGAGAGTTCTTTGTCTAATCATCAATCCTTGTATTAAGCGTGGTTATCCGATTATATCTTGACTAATTAAGATACACGTGGGCGCAGCAATGAACTATTTACAAGCTAATTTAATTTTAACACGTATCATTATATGAGTAATTTATATGAGTTTACATCTAAATCTCCGTGTTATCTCATTGGAATGCAGGGCGAAGCGGGAAGGGATTAACGCCTTACAACGTTTACGCGTCGAGAAAAATAAATTGGTTTAAAAAATAAAGAGGGATCCAGTTAAACAGAGTTACTTCTGTAACAACTGCTTTGTGCCTTATCTCACTTCTGTTTTTATATAAACAAGGATAGTAGATAAGTTTACATATATGTATATTACAATAACTATAATAGGTCTTTACCTATAAAATTTCTGTTCTGCAGTCCTGGCCATTTCATATTAAAATAATTTTTGTTTGGCTAAGAATTCTAATTTCAAATTAATTTTGTTTTAAAAATATGGAATTCTTTTTTCAAATTAGTTATTTGTTTATTTGATTAGTGTTATGTTTTCATCGCATTTTAATGTGTGTCAAGTGCCGTCGTGACAGCAACGCGGCATAAACGGCACGCAACATCAACGACAACGAACGAACCTGCTATTATATAACGACCAGTTATTGGTTTGCCCGCTTCCGTTTTGGAAATTTCGACCTGAAAAATGAACCCCGTGGTCGCCCGAAAACTTTGGTCGATAATGACGAATTAAAGGCGATTGTGGATTGGCAAGGTAAAAAGCTTGAGGACTATGTGCTCGTTTGTCATTCTTATTCTTTAATTTTTTTTTATTCTATAGGGTGACAAACGAGCACACAGTCCACCTGATGGTAAGTAGTTGCTGTGGCGCATAGACATCTACATTTATCCTCGTTTGCGAATCAAAATGCAGATGCGTTGCCACCCGTGAGGACTAAGATGGAATGCCTCGTTTCCAGTAAAAAGGGTCTCCGGTTCTCTACACTCACCATACGAAACACAGCAATGTTGAGCTGCTATTTGACGCTGGTATTCTGTGAGAGCGTGGTCCTTCCCCAGTCGAGCCGACCCATTCGTGCTACAAATATACTACTAATATAGCTGCAACATGGCTGTACCACGTAAAAATATAAATAACGCTGCGATGACACTATACGAAAGTGTGTGACGAGAAATGACGACTATTTTTTACTAGTAACTTGATCAACGCATCTGTAGTTTGAATCAAGTGGACTCATCCATCGATGCCCTCACATTTATAATGAGAATACTGCTTGATAAGAAGCAGCCACTGCGGTCTATACCATCATAGACACCTTTATAAATGTTGCTACAGTCCTTAAACTGTCGCTTGATGACGTTACAAATACAAATATCAATGCATCTCGCCTCATGAGTGACGTATGATTCGAAGTGAATATGGGATACAGCAAAAATTAGGCGTTCGATAAATGGATACTAGGTAGTAGGACTTCATTTCTGCCTAGGATTTTGAGCGTGTAGGTACCCACGTTTACCTATATCTGTCCCCAAATAGCAGGAGGCATAGCGAGCATAGTTACAGTATAATTACAGCCAGTGTTTACACTTCTTTGTTTGAAGTTGGCTGCAGGTATCTATAGACTGCTGTCATCGTAGCCACCAATCATCAGGTGGACTGTAAATTCTTCACTTCAGTATTGAAAAAAAGCCTTAACCTCTACGTTAGATGGATTGGCATTAGCAGTACCAGTAATCACGCGCCTATTCCACGGTTTAGAACCCCCCTCCCCCCATCTCAGCTAACGAATTTTGAGCACAAAAAGTTTATAAAACCACTGTCAAATGCACCCGCCCTACACTTAACATATTTAGTTTTATTAACTTTTTGTGCTTATCATTGCATTTTATGCATTTCTAACGATGGTGCAATTATAACGGTGGTAGAGCCACGCAGCAGTTTTTGCTGTT